TTAAATATGAACATCATCCAACATTTGATTGATTGATTGATTCATTCTCGATCTTTTTTTTGGTAAACACTTCACTAATCTCAAATTACTATATGCTTTGCTTAGCTTGAGATCAAAAACATATATGATCCACGAAAAAGAAACACTTTTTTGGAAGATTGTATTTCAGAAGAAGATTCACCTTATCTCTTTTCAACTACCATGTTGATCCATTAGTCAGCAACTACCCAATGTGATCTCCTGTCTAGTATCAGTTATACAAGGGTACAAAATGACCAACCATCATCATCATCATATATATATATACACAGACATATATACACACACACATGTGTGTGTATATTTATAATAAAGTCGATCCTTCAATTTGTTTGGGGAGATTGCATCTTTAGAAACTGATTCACCTCATTCATTTGTCAGTCATTAACTAAAATCTTGATCTCCTTTGTCATACACAAGTGTAAGTAAGTAACTAATTTTTATTATTAATATGTATATCGATCTCATGATCATATCATATCAAGAACCAGATTACATACTAGAACAACACAAAATTAGTTAATGTTAATTAGTAAAATTAAATAATAATAGATTAATACAAAAGCGCGTAGAATTAATTATAATTAATGAAGCGTATGGGCAGGGTGGTCAGACCAAATTTGATGGTAGACATTCTAAGCAATGAATGCCCTGGTCAGCCCCCACCATGGGATCCATTGTCCCAACTTCAACCAACATCTGGAATAATATTATTGTGCTGAAGATTCCCATATATCGCCTTTGTGGGACACACTCATATTAAACTAGATTAGTGGCATAATTTAATATTGATTAGCTACTACTTTAATTAATTGATGTAACATGTCTCTTTTACAAAAGTATCAAAATCATTTACGGTATTTTGCTAGAAATGTGTTTCTTTTTCACCCTCAAGGTTTTAGAATTTGCATATTATGAGGGGCATTGGAGGTAAAGTTTCTCTAATTAAAGGTTTTGTTTCTTTAATTAGAATAAATTTTTTTTTTCAATTCTTGATTAATGTAGTGGATAGATTTGTTAAGTTTCATGAATTTTATATCCTAATTTGAGAGTCTTCATCAAAGTCATGGTTCTAAAAAGTGAATATATATATATATATACTTGACATAGTTTATTGGTGACACAGAAGAATTTACATGATCAAGGATTGTAAATTTATTTTTCTAAATGCCATCTAAATAAATAAATTTGAACTGTTAATTTTAACTTTCAGGTAAAAAAACTTTACAATTTGTTCAAAGTGACTAGTCATAATTCAAAATGATTAGCAGGTGGGTTGATTCTTTGTGGTGGATTTTTTTATTTTTACTTTTTGCTACATGCTACAAATTGATCAAATGACCACAACGGTCCAGTGCCAAAAAAAAAACACAAGGGGAATTTATTGACCATATCTTAGTGAATATATATTGAGGACCACCTCATATGTAGGAGTATATATCATCATCTAAAAGTCTGAAAGACTGAAACTAAGGTCGTCTGTCATTGTAAACTAGCTAAAAATGAAAGCCGAAAAGTTATCTATATTGGGAGTCACTTTCTTTTATAGATAAACAGGTGTTTCGAGTTGGAAAACAAAAAAAGGATTGTTTGTATTGTTATTTGATCTTGACTTCACCAAGTCCAAAAGATGGAAAAGTGTATGTTAATCTTTTGGGGGTCTTTGGACAAGTATTATTTGGAAAAGTGTGGTGAGGAAGGGTGTTTCAGATCATGGGCTTGCCGTGATATAGTTAGGTTAGAAAGAAACAAACCAGGATGGGGTTGGGGGATGTTGACTGGGCAAGGGCACAGCTAGGGTTGGGGATGTTTTCTTCTCTTAGGGATGTGACCTGTCTCTTAGTCATCACCATGCCCTAAAAACTTCTTGAATGAGTGATGTTCATGACTTCTATGGATTCATGTAATCTTCAGGTGCTCTTGCATGCAGCAGACCAAATCACCTTCCTCTTACATTTTTCTTTCCAAATCTAAGCCTTTGGATCATCGATTCATCACCATTCTAACTATCATTTTGAGGGCCTATTAATTTACCTGGTGTTTTTCTCTAACATTATTTTATACAAAGTGATTGTTCTCGAGTTCAAATTTCATGATTTCTTCTTCAGCCGTCTAATTTGACTCTTATCATTAATTAATTGAAGAGCACTAAAAGTAGTTCAAAAGTCCGACCGACATCAATGGTGGGACGATGGGGCCCACAAACCCTCTCCCAGTTCTCCAGCTCAGGAGAGGTACTGCTCCATCCAAGGTGTGAGATTACATCATTACTTGGCAGAATTTACCATTATAATAGGTCTCATCTAGTGATTCAATCTTCACCACAAAACTTTGATGAATTCATATTTTTTAAACTCAATCTCAACCACAAGATTCTCTCCCGCCCTCTCCAACGCTTAAGGGGATCTTTGTCCCTCACAATTATCCATTCGGACTTTGGGACTCCAAATGAGTTTCCTTAATTGAAAGAGAAAAGGCCAAGCCCTGATTGGAAATATTGCTACTACATTTTTTCTAGTATAGTATGATCCCACAATGGTTTGAAGTAGTTAGGTCAAGAAGGGATTTTTATATGGTTGTGACTAATACGGATCACCTTTATGGTGAAAAGTAGTTCACCTAGAAATTTGTCGAATCTGATTGGGCTATTTACTAAATCTATCTGCAAACTATACATTGAATAAGCTTTTGGCTGTAAATTTTCTGTCTGCTATGTTTACTACCTACCTGAAGTCCAAATTTTAGCAACATGCAATTCCAATTTTTCAATCTATTCAGTCCCAAGTCTTTTACAACTTCCTTCATGAAATTTCTGAATAAATTTTCCATTAATTCAAACAAGGAAACATTCCAATTAGATGTCTTTTGGACTCTTGCCTAGAAAGTAAAATTTATATTTTGCACAACGGATATTGTTAAAATAAAATTCAGAGACGTTAAAATACCATAAGATTCTGTTGAAGGAGTCTCATCGCTCGATAGATCAACCTACACGATTCATTCTTTTTCGTCATTCGAGCAATTTGAATAAAGTTGATCTCTCAAATCCTCTTCAACATTTAATTTTCGTCTCTCTAATTTTTAGTGACTTCCTTAATTTGATCACACTTTTATATTATATAATTTATATGAGCTGCTTGATCCCAATTACAAACTGTTTATAGGTAAATAATAAAAAACTTCTGTTAATTATTTACCCAAAAAAAAAAACTTATGTTAACTATTTAGGTCCATTTGAATGAATGGATTTGAAATGTAACAGATTTAAGGCCCATATTAAAAATTTAGAAAGTTCGACTGAGAAATCAAAGAAGCGGGACAAAGCAGAGGCCATAGATGAACATGAGAAAACTTAGCTAAGCTTAGCACCCCTCTCTCTCTCACACACATACACACAGACACACACAGCAGAGACCCCATGTGGTTAGCTGCATGACTTATTAATTAAAGATATATGTATATTTGTCAAATAAACCGTGCAATGCACGAATGATTCATTCATGTGTAGAGATGCATAATTGGGAGCTTCCTCGAAGAATCTTGGCCTTAAACTATGAACAATTTAATTTAAATTAATTGATAGGCATACAATACAATTTAGTAGTAAAATGATATGGTCATAGTTTTGCAGAAATATGTTCCCTTCTACATCCAACCGACCCCGCCCATTAATTGAGGGAGGGAGAGCCGCATGTCAACAATGCATTCACATTATGTGTACCTAGTTTTTTGTGTCTTTTTATTTTTATTATATATATATTTCTTTATTTGAAAACTAACAATTTAAAAGTAAACTTGCATCACATTTTTAATATTACTTCACACACAAATTTAGCAGTAGAAGAATGATTTTGAGATGAGATATTGTTATGTATGTAAATGTCTTTGAAATATACAGAGAAACTTAAAAGTTAATTGTCATCTAATAAATCAATCAATATTAGTTCAAATGACATGATCTTTTCTCATGAGATGTTGAGTGGTTGAATCTTTTTAAGAATAATGTTGTGAGTGTATATGTTTACTTAAACTTTTGAAAATAAAAAATAAAAAATTTACCGTCTAATAAATTAACTTTTTAGTACATTAGATTTAGTAACGATGAATTTGATATTTTTAAAAAGTGATACACATTTAAAGAATAACACTGAATAGATCGATTTAGATCGTGTATCAACAGACATATATTCATCTATTAGTCATTGTTTGAAGGTTTATCAATCCTAAAACACTTTGTTGAAAATAAAGGGCTGAAAACATATACAAAGAATGTTGGTCAGAAATTATTCAATTGTTTGGGCAAATGAAGGAAAAGGAGAAAAAGTGTCTAAAATTTTAAGTTGCCAACAAGCCACTCTAGATTTTTTTAAATATCTCATTCTTGATTTTTTTAGAGGCTTTAAACCACTGCCCTGAACTTATCAACATGGAGTGATTAATGTCAAACACTTTATAAAAATGGATTGAAAAGGATAAGTACTTCTTTCTTCTTCTAATTATGCTTTTCAAAGCACATACATTATCCAAATTCGATCACATATATAGTTAAAGTGTTTAGGAAAACAATTGACACATGACAACACATGAAAAAGAAAAAGAAAATAAATAAAAAGGTGAGTACAATAACCATATGGTAGGGCATTTCTATATTTATTGTTGATCAATAGAATGATCAAATGCAAGCTAAGTCACTGGGACAAACTGATTAATTGTAGTTCCTTTCTGGACCAGTAGGCCATTGGATCCTTCACTCATTTCATCCCTATTTTTTTAGCCCTATGCTTTAAACATTAATATAAACTCAGGGCAGTTTAGTAAATTTAAACACCCAATAATTATTAGTGACAATCCCTTGATCCAAGAAGATCAGCATACCGGTAGTTACACGTGTCAGCATGCAACCCGTTGGGACATGATAGGACAATGCAGCCATTGGTATATATGCACATGAAAGCCTATATACATTGCTCTTCCTTTGTTATATTATTGCACTCTCTCTCTCCCTCTCTCAATAGCTTTCAACATAAGAATAGAAGAAGACAACAAAGTACAAGAAGAAGAAGAAGCAGCTAAGAGAATTAAGGTATTAACAAGCAAGAGACTGAAGACAACCATTTGATGGCCGGAGTTGAGATGGAGGTTGGCCGGAAAATGTCGAACTTGCTCGGCAAAGACTTGAACCTGAAGGAGACTGAGCTCTGCCTTGGTTTACCAGGCGGAGGTGGAGGCGGAGGCGGTGAAGGCTGCGGAGAGATGATGAAGATCACTGGGAAGAGAGGCTTCTCTGAGACTGTTGATCTCAAACTTAACCTTCAATCCATTGAATCAGTGGCGGATCTGAAGGAGAAGAACAAGACTACTACTACTTTGAAGGAGAAGAACCTCCTTCCGTGCACCAAAGATCCTGCAAAGCCACCAGCCAAGTAAGCTGCCTTTTTCTAAGCTTCTTTTTTATGATCCAATATATCACTTTGTACCGTGTATATATATATAGAGAGAGAGATATTCAAGTACATAAATGCATATATATATATATATGATAGTCAGGGTTCTAGGATGGGTGGACGAGATTGATAGGCAGCTACACCAAGCAACACACACATAAACATATACACCTTGGTTTCTTTGATTTTATTAAAATAGAGGGCTGGCGAGCTAGAAAACTGAGTAGATCTCCTCGGTCCTGAGAAGTTCAACTCTGAATTCATATGGGATTAAGGTAAGGATGATAATAGTAACGGTATCCATACACTTATATATATGTAACTTTGTTTTCTTGGTGTGGTGGAGGATATTTTAGGGTTACTATATATCATGCACATATATATATATATGGTTGTGCGGGAAAAATATATGGAAATGGATGACAATACATATATATATTTATGTTCTATATCTATGTATTTACAGGGCACAGGTTGTAGGTTGGCCACCAGTGAGATCCTTTCGCAAGAACATAATGGCTCAAAAGAGCAACTCTGAGGAGAGTGACAAGGCCAATGGTACTGGTGCAGCTTTCGTGAAGGTTTGCATGGATGGAGCACCTTATCTTCGTAAGGTGGACTTGAAGATGTACAAGAGCTACCAAGAACTCTCTGATGCCTTGGCCAAGATGTTCAGTTCCTTTACCATGGGTAACTACTACTATACCACTAACTAATTTCATGTAAAAAAAATTATGCACTATAATTTATTTTTTTGCTTATCACATATATATATATATAGATCTCAACAAATCCAAATCATTTGTTATAATAATTTTTTTTTTTATCATGCGACTTTGTTTAAGAAAAGCATTCAGTGCCAGCCAAATTAGTTATATATAATGCCAACACTATATATTATCCCTTTTTATAAAAGAATTTTTTTTATTTTTGATACGTTGTTAGTGTGTTATTGAACAGAATAATTAATAAATCTTACAAAAGGTGGATCTTAGCTAGAATTATTAAGTGATCTGTTACTACTTAGTCCCTAGCTAAGTGTTTCCACTACTAGCTTGTTGATTATCATGGTTTTTTCTACTTAAAATGCAGGTAACTGTGGGACCAAATCAGGAATGATAGATTTTATGAATGAGAGCAAATTGATGGATCTGTTGAACAGTTCTGAGTATGTGCCTACCTATGAAGATAAGGATGGAGATTGGATGCTCGTGGGCGATGTTCCGTGGGAGTAAGTGTTTTTATAATTTATAATTTTTATTTTTAATAATTTTCGGCGCATCTTAGAACCAAAAGCATGAAAAATAATCACCAAATTAATTATGCAAAAACAGACATAAGGTATCGATTAGACAACTCCACAAACATCTAATCTTGCAGCACAGTAGTATAAGATTAGAAGGCATAATTTTGTGGCTGGCATATTGCAACGTATTTATCATCAACTCAATGGTCTGTATCATATTAACACATTATGGTACTCTATATATATATAGAGACGTATCAAAAGAATTAAACACCGCTTTATTTTCCAAAAAAAAAAAAAAAAAGAATTAAACACCACTAATTTGTATCTATCTGATCTTGTACAGGATGTTTGTTGATTCATGCAAGCGCCTGCGTATAATGAAAGGATCGGAAGCTATCGGACTTGGTATGTATGCCTAAGATGTAGAACCATGTTAAAAAATTTCTGGTTTCAAGCTTAAAATATAGTTTTTGCTTATAATTGTCACAAATAACATTTATGTAGGTTAAAAAAACAAGAAAGAAAATAAATTTGTTGTAGTACCTAACATAAAAAACTTCATACATATATATATATATATATATATATATATATATATATGTATGTATGTATGTATGTATGTATGTATGTATTAATTTAAATTTATTTGAATTTTCAGCCCCAAGAGCTATGGAGAAATGCAAGAACAGGTGCTGAAAAGCCTGGTTTTCAGAGTCCTGCACTGTAGCATTCATGCACTAGGACTAAATGATAAGAGTACCTGCGCAAGAGATTATGTTTAAATGTGTCTGTATTTTAATTTGATATAGTACATAGATATCAAAGATCTGGAGATTTGTAAGTGACAAGAAGTAATAAACCTACCTATTGTCTGGTTTGCCTTATTACTAATGTTGTTGGCTTGCTTAATAATTACCATTTTTCCTTCTTTTTTTTTTCTTTTTTTTTTTTTTTTTTTGGTTGTCCTTGCTGTCATAGTTGTTGTGTGTTTTTATTCCTTCAGTTGTAATGCTACAATTTTTATTTTTATTTTCTTGCCCATCAGATTCTTCATATCATGTATAACTTCTGTTTATTCATTAATTCATTGTATATTGTCATTATTTTGAGCTGAAGATGTTATTAAAATGCATGAGCCTAGTGAGGGAGGGAACAAGGCCATGTGAATGTTGATGGGGGCATTCATTCATGGCCAATTGTTTATGTGAGTTTTGGATAATAATCAAATATATATACATATATCTGACCTGTGAATGTAGGCTCTTGACTGAATGGCCTTTAATGGTATAATGTGGGATGGTGGTTAGGACGCTACTAGCACATGCATATGTTGTATTCATGTTTACATACATACATGTGATTATATATATATATATATATATATATATATATATATATATATATATCTCCCCAACATTTACATGGGTCAATGGTATTTGAACTTTCCACTTCAAGGATGACTCATTAATTCAATTGACATTCATTTTACTGTTCTCCCTCAAACATTTTAATTTTGGTCAATGGTACTGGACTTCCTATGTCAATAAATGACATATATGAGTCCGAATCACATGATTCGATCGATTCACGACGTATTGTGTGGTTTGTAATTATTTTTTAAGGATCTAATACTGATACACACTTTCATAGATTAATAGCTTCAATTAATTTATATTGATATTCATCCGAATCTCTTATATTGCGATTACAACCGTTACCACAATCAATAGTGCCTGTGGTATATCACTATACTTTTATCGCACCAAAATCTTATTCTAATAACTATACCCTTACTTCTTTCTCTCTCTATACATATATATTAATATATATGTGCATATATGTATGTGAAGATTTTATAAAGCTGCAAAGTTTTCTTGGATGAGATATTATGGAAGGATCAATTTTTTTAATTTTTTTTTTCTTAATGGCAATAATCATTTTAGACAAGCTGGATATATTTATTTAATAATTAAACACAATGAACGACGGTGGAGGAAGACAACAAAAGGTCTCCTTGACAGCAATCATTGGCTCTTAACTATCCCCTGATGCCCTGATGGTTAACTTTAAACAGAAATGAAAAGAAGATGATGATGTTGAAATGAAAAATTAAAGCTGCAACATAATGCCCTTTAAATTTAACAATGTAATTAAAAGATTATCAAGAGTGAGGCTATGATGATGAATGCCTTTTAAATTTAACAATGTTAAAAAAATTAAGAGTGAGGCTATCATGAGATTGCATTCATGATCATTACGGCTCTCATTCAGTCATTAGATTGACATTTTTTATCTCAATCATACCGGCTCGTTTAGGGTAAGGCATGTCATTTCTCGGTCAAATTAGAGTATCGTGTTTTTTGGAGCATAAAAAGATTTAATTTCAATCTTGATTAGGCCAACTCTAACCAGAAATTGCAACTCAATGAACTTGAGGAAATCCGGAGTGCTTATGCAAAATGCACACATAGCACTTGATGAAGAATTTTGAGAAGAGGAGAGATGATTTTGCTCAACATAATTCTCATAGGGCTCCTACTTCTAGTGTTAATATTGTCGCCGCTTGTGGCTGCCCGATTGACTCACCCTTGGATACGAACGGTCAGCCTTTCTTTGGTCCATTCCCATGTAAGCCCAAAGCGTATTGTTTAGTCATAGTGACCAATCTTTGCAGTCCGGCCTAACCGTCTTTTCAATAATATTTTTGATTTCCCAGTTTGAGACTTCCACATTCTTAAGAAGATCTTTGAATCTTTCTCATAAACATAATGATTTTCAAGAAGAAGCAGAGTAAGATTATCCGGCGAAGAAGCATAGCAAGTCAGATTATCCGGTGAAGAAGCAGAGCAAGTCAGATTATCTGGTGAAGAAGCTGAATTGAGGACATACAAATAAGCAAAAGGATCTCCCTGTTCAAAGAAGGTCTGTTCTGAAACAAACAAAAGGAGATCTAGTCGGAAAAATTACCATACATTCTAGCGAAAAGCTAAAATTTCTGAGAAGGAGAGATGCCCCCCCCAAAAAATTCCGGTAGTCCGCGAGAAACTGAAACTCCGATCATTATAAACATTAGGTTGTTATTTTGAATTTCTTGTAACTTTATTCATAATGATATATTAAATTTATCTTATATGACGGCAATCCAATAGTGATTATTAGTAATAAAAAAATTTAAAGGTTGGGTTCATCAACTATTTTTTTTTAACAGCATATAGATTAATTTATTATGCTGACAACTTATTTAAACATGTATCATGTATGAATTGCATATTATATCAACATATTTTCTTAACACGTTAAAAAAATTAACTTCCACAACTCAATTTCACAATTTCTAAATTAATAATAAGAATCACAAATACTTTCAATATATATGTAAGAAGATTTGCATATTTCATTACCTATTTTTTGTAACAACATACAATACAAAAGTTGGAGAGATCAAATTATTATTATCACAACTTTCTTTTAACATATATCATATATGAATTGCATATAACATCAATATATTTTCCTAACACGTTAAAAAAAAATAACTTCCACATCAAATTATTATTATCACAACTTTTTAAAACATATATCATGTATGAATTACATATAGCATCAACATATTTTCCTAACATAGTTAAAAAAAATTAACTTCCACAACTCAATTTCACAATTCATAAATTAATAATAAGAACCACAAATACTTTCAACATATATGTAAGAAGATTTGCATATTCCATCACCTACTTTTTGTAACAGCATACAATACAAAAATTGGAAAGATCAAATTATTATTATCACAACTTTTTAAAACATGTATCCTGTATGAATTGCATATAGTATCAACATATTTTTCTAACACACTAAAAAAATTAACTTCCACAACTCTAAAATCTATATAAATTAGTCAATTATTTCAAAACTCTAAAATCTCAAATAAACTTATACTTGCATACTGAACTGTACCGATACATAATCAATGTTTAAGATTTGTAATTTTAATGAAAATGAATGGAATAAAATATTTTTGTATATAATATATTTTTATGCGTATATTTGGATACTGAACTGTACCGATATATTTTTGTATATAAGATTTGTATATATATTTTTGTACATATATAATGTATAAGTGTATGTTGTATGGGGATTTGTAATTTTACTGAAAAGAGATGGAATAAAATGTTTTTGTATATAATATATTGTTATACGTATATTTGGATACTAAATTGTACCGATATATTTTTGTATAAGTGTATGTTATATTGAGAATTGTAATTTTACTGAAAATGAATGAATAAAATATTTTTGTATATAATACATTGTATACGTATATTTGGATATTGAATAATACCAAAATATTTTTGTATATAAAATTTGTATAAGATTTATATATATATATATATATATATATATATATAATGTGATTTATATAAAAGTTGTGATTTATGTTATAAATGTGTTCTTACATTATATAAAATTTAGTTATGACATTAGTTATGAAATCGTTATGATGTTAGTAATAATACATGATTGGTTTTTCTTTGGTTTTGGTTAAATTTACAAATCTAAATTACATTGAATGAAATTAGTTATGATATTTATTACAAATGTGTTCCTACATTATATGAAATTTAGTTATGATCTTAGTTATAAAATTGTTATGGTATTATTTTTCTAAAACGGTATAAGAATATTATAATGGTGTGATATCCCTCGACTCCAAAATATGGGTTGATCAAACCCAAACCCGAGGAAATATTAAACAATTAAGGTATTTAACAAGCATGTAATACAAAATGAAATAAGAATAAATAATAAAGTTGAAAGAAACTAAAATAATTAATCCTTTAATAATTAATCCAATAATAAACATCCAATAACAAAATCCTTTGATACCAGTAATTAATTAAAATTACTACTTAGAAATCTATTATGTGGACCCCTAATCCAAAATTCAACTGAAATAAAATAATATCTGACTAAAACAATAATAAGGAAATCCTACGTTAAGACGGATGAGTGAATAGATCGTCTCTGCTCAGCACGAACAATCCTTAAGCCTGGAACTGACGAACATCTGAAAAATAATGGTGGGTCAGGTTCACAAACAAGTTCTAATTTACTACATCCCAAACAGAGACTCATAACTCATATACATCCTAATTAATTCAATAATAACTAATAATCCTTGTTCATATACACACACACACTAAAGGAACCTCACTAGACTATAGGGTTACCTCAACCTGAATAGTAGGCAACAACATGCAAAACGCATATATAATAAGCATGAGTATCTAGACCTACCAGGGCATAAAACTACACTATACCTAGCTACACATCCCTAACAATATACGCACTCTAACCATGATCTTAAGACTCAAATTCATATCATGACATATAACTATATATATATATATATATATATATATATATATAATCTGTCATATCCAAACATAGAATAAATATCCCGTATGTCATCCAACTGATTCAGTTGACTTGACATGAAAATATGTAAGATGTAACATTTTAATTAATCCATTCCGTTATACATGAATAAGTAGGATTTAACGTTTTTAGTTAACCCATTTGTAATATGCCACCATCCCATACAGGTGCATATAATGCATACAATCCATAAATGATATTACAGTTATGATATCACATCAAATAAATCCATATATAGTATGATATAAATCATACAGATATTCATTTGTATTTAATTGAGTAAAATATAACAATTCTAAGTAGAATGCATTGAATTTATCTCATAAAAATTAACATGCATATCAAATAATTGTACTCCTCCACAATCTAATCAAATTTATTTAAAACCAAATAATTGATTAAAATAATTTAATCCAACCATGTTTAATTAATTTAACCTTTTAAATTAATTAAATTTTATACTTAACATGTGTACTTAAATCATGTTTTTAAAATCCTCCATAAATCTAATTTAACAATTTAAAATCATTAAAACATATTTAATAACATATTGTGAACAGTAGACAAAATCCCAAACAAAACACAAACTCCAGTACTGAATTGGTAGATCGAAA